GGCCTTTCCACCATTCTACCTTACCATTTCTTGCACCAAGGTTATGTTCCAGTAACACATTGGGTTCAATTCAAAGAAGAAATCAATGAAAAAATATCTCTTGACATTCGACTCAAACACAAAAACGATATTGAAGAAGCTGTAAAATATCTAACGGAACAAATACAGCAGGCCGTTTGGAAAGCTACTCCTGTAAAGGAAAAAACCATTGATGAAAGGTATAGTATACCCCTCCACATTAGAACACTAGTAGAAGAGAGAAGAAGAGCCCGTCGCAAATGGCAAAGAACAAGAAACGCGATATATATATATATATATATATATATATATATATATATATATATATATATATATATATATATATTATATCAATGGTATTCCGGGTTTGACTCCGCGTTAAATGTTGTTGGTTTTGATAAAAACCATTTTGACGACGTTTCGGCAAGATCTCACTTGTCATTTTCAAGTCTCTCTGGATGGTCTGCTTCTTGTCGATGTTCGAGTGGAAGTGACGCTACGGGTGTTAGGCAGCTGGCTTTTGTAGTTACTGTGCGTTGCGCGCGCTCTTGTTATTGGTCCAGTGCGCAGGTCAGTGGGCGGGGTCTTGGTCGATTCCGTTCTTGCATTATTCTTCGGGATAATTGGTTTCCATGTTTTTGGCAATCTTTGGGCATCGTCTCGAGAATTTAAATTATTTTCTTGTTTTTCTATTTCAATGGCTTCTCTGATAATTCGTTTCCTCTTGTTTTCGACATTCGCTAACATTACCGTATGTTTGAGGTCAATTTTGTGTCCTGTAGCTAAAGAATGCTGGGCTAGGGATGACGTCGTTTCTTTTCGTTCGATGGCATTGCGATGTTCTTCTTGTCTTACTTGGATCCTTCTATTTGTCTGTCCAATATAGGCTCTATCGCATTCTCCACAGGGAATTTTGTATACTCCTTGGTTTTCTAGGGGAATCTTTGTCTTGGCAGATGGTAATATGTTTGCGATTTTTCTGTCGGTGTTGAAGACAGTCTCTATTTTGTGTTTTCTCAGGACCCTGCTTATCTTCTCTGTTGTGCCTTTAATATACGGTAGAGTGGTTTTGGCAATCGGTTTTTCGTCTTCTTTTATTTCTTTTGTTGTTTTTTGTGGTCTTCGTGCCTTTTCGATTCTGTGTGTGGAAAAGCCGTTGTTTTTTAACGCTTTTGTAACTTTCTGCATTTCTTCTTTCTTGTGTTCTTCGTCTGTTAGTCGTTCAGATCTTATAGTCAGAGTTTTTATGACTGAATTCAATTGTGCAGGATGGTGGTGTGAATCTGCATGTAGGTATCTGTCAGTGTGAGTTGGTTTTCGATACACTGTATATCCAATGTTGCCGTTTTCTTTCTTAATTATTAAGACGTCTAGGAAAGGTAGTTGTTGATTACTTTCTAATTCCATCGTAGACTTGATCTTGTGATGGATACTGTTAATGTATTCCAGAAATGCAGTAAGTTTGTCTACTCCATGTGTCCATATGATGAAAGTGTCGTCCACATATCTAAGCCATAGTTTGGGTTTATATTCTGCTGTTCTTATTGCCCGTTCCTCTATGTCTTGCATAAAAAGATTTGCTATCACGGGAGATAGCGGTGAACCCATCGGTGCCCCTTCAACTTGTTTGTACCGTTGATCACCATATATAAAATATGTGTTGTTTAAGCAGGGTCTCGTCAAATTTAGGGTATCTTGCGGTACTGTGTATTTTCTGCTTATAATTTCCAAGGATTCATTGATGGGAATGTTGGTGAAAAGTGAAACAACATCGAAACTTACTAACAAGTGTCCCGGCCCAAGAGTAACATCTTTTATACGCTCGATGAAGTGGCCTGCATTCTTAACGTAGGAATCAGCTTCTTCTGCGTAAGGCTGTAGCTTTTCAGCCAGGAACCTTGCCAGTGGTTGTAACGGTGATCCGATGGAGCTCACTATTGGTCGTAGTGGTAATCCATCCTTGTGAACTTTTGGTAGACTTTTGGTCACACAAAAATATATATATATATATATATATATATATATATATATATATATATATATATATATATATAAATATATATATATATAAAACAAATCTAAACAGGCTCACACACAGATTTCATTCCGCTATCCAAATAGAAAAAAAACGAATCCTTTGAAAGATATGTCACAAACCTTTCTTTTGACGACAACTCTCTTTGGAAAGCCACAAAGAAACTCAAAAGGCCGGTAGTAATAAAATCACCAATTAAGAAAAATTATGGAACCTGGGCTCGATCAGACATAGAAAAATCCAACAGATTTGCAGAACATCTATCAACTGTCTTCTCCACCCCACAGGCCAACGATATTAACGACGAGAAAATTAGAGACTTCCTTAATGCACCCTGTCAACTATCATTAGCACTCAAATATTTGTCACCAAACGAAGTCCGTAACCAAATTAACGTGCTTAACCCTCATAAAGCTCCAGGATTTGACCTTATAACTGGCGAAATCTAAAAAAAACTCCCAAGAGTAGGTGTAGTCTTAATAACCATTATTTTTAATAGCCTCCTGAGACTATGCTTTTTTCCAGCGCTTTGGAAGTGTGCACAAATTATAACAATATCTAAACCTGGTAAAACTCTAACTGAAGCCAGTTCGTACAGACCAATAAGTCTCCTTCCGATTTTATCAAAAGTCTTCGAAAGGTTAATCCTTAACACAATAGAAACAATAATACCTATAGAAAACCTTATCCCAGATCATCAGTTTGGTTTTCGCTCAAATCACTCAACCATACAACAGTGCCATAGATTAGTCAACAAAATAAAAGAGAGCCTAGAAGGGAAACAAATCTGTCTATCAGCATTCCCCGATATACAGCAAGCATTTGATAGTGTGTGGCACGAGGGTCTTCTCTTTAAAATAAAAACTCAGCTAACTGACCATATCTACCTCCTCCTTAAATCATAATTGTCCAACAGATACTTCCAAGTTAAATACGAAGGTGCTGTATCCAACTACCACCAAATAAAATCTGGAGTACCTCAAGGCAGTGTACTTGGCCCATTCCTTTACCAAATCTTCACTGCTGATATTCCTATTAGCGAAAATACACTAATGGCAACATTTGTAGATGACACTGGTATACTGGCATCAGATATCAATGAAATATTAGCATTTAACAAATTGCAAAATCATCTCAATGAACTAGAACACTGGCTTAAATACTGGAAAATAAACGTCAACACAAACAAGTCTTGTCAAGTAAATTTCACAAATCCAAGAATTAGATGTCCACAACTACACCTAAATAATTCATCTATACCAATAAAAACAGAAGTAAAATATCTGGGCCTTCATCTAGACGAAAAACTTACTTGGAAATCACATATTGCAGCCAAACGACGACACCTCGACCTAACAGTTAAAAATATGAGCTGGCTAATCAACAGAAGATCGCAACTTTCATTAGAAAACAAACTAACCATCTATAAAACAATACTGAAACCAGTGTGGACATACGGAATTGAGCTGTGGGACTGTAGCAAACCATCTAATACCAAAATACTGCAGACATTCCAGTCAAAAACTATTCGTATGTTAGCTAAAGCCCCATGCTATGTCAAACCAAACCCTGCATGCAGACCTCAACATCCCCTTCATCAATGATGTGATTGCTGACCACTCCAGAAGATATATGAATCGCAGCGCAGACCATCCAAACCATCTCATAGACGAATTATTCAACCCCCCACTGGTTGACAGACGTCTAAAAAGACTTTGATCAGAAGACCTAGCTGCTAGGTAAATGCCAGAGAGTCGTCAATGGACGACACCTGCCACAAGCCAAGAACATACATCATATTTACTTATTACTGTATTGAAGTAGATTGTAAATTAACAATAAATAAATAAAAAGACAGTGTTCCACACTCTAATCAATGAGGGAGGTTCTTCCGGCTGGTTTCCTGAAGTTGTCCGGGAATAGTGTGGTAGAGATCTGGACCTCTAAAGGAACAACTAAGATTGACAAAAATCAACCGTGAAGAACCGGTATATAATCCGCCTAGGGAATAACTTAACCCTTTTTCTTAAAATAAACCCAAAAAAAGCAAAATAACGAATCCTTCTCCTTGACTTCTGATTAACTCTTCGAATAGGCTAAAAAGAGTATTTGTGTTAGCGTTCCTTACTCTTGAGAAAAGGTAGGGAAAAACACAAGGTTTATTAATCTCGAAAGGTAATACAAAAGTTACTAAGGAACCTTGTATGAAGGCAAAAAACCTTAATGGTTTTGTAAAAATTTGACCTTCGAATGGTTTGACAATATTTTATGTGATATGGATTGATTAAATAGATAATTTTAACGAAAAGCATGCTCTGGATATATTTTAGAATAATAAAAGAACGGTATGAGACAGAAGATTTTTAGAAACTGAACAAAAAGTATATATAATTTGTAAAAATTCTTCAATCATTGTAACGGTATCTCTTACAAAAAATATTGTACGGCAATGGGAGACCAAGAAAAACTTTGAATTGTCATCACCATTTTTTCGAATTTAGTACCTACGATTTTGAAACTATACTTTAGACAGATTACGACTTCGTGATTTGCTAGAGTATTCCAAACGACAACGTAGGTACTACTTTTTGATTTTTGTAGCGGGGATCGAATCCACATAATTTAGTGCCATGCACTCACATTTGAATTACCTAGACCGCTTCTGAGCGCTGATATCTCGAAACTACATTAGTAATATAAAGTATGAGTAATAAAAAAATTATCGATACTATTTTCTTAGAAGACTTATTTTGAAGCAGAGAATTTTCAGTTATTCTATACCCCATTCTAAACGAGACACTCTGTATAAATAGTAAATAAATAATTTACTTCTTGAGTGCTATGTTTTCTCTTCTGGTTGAGCTGATTTATAACGTATTATTTTGGCACTTTATTTTCATAGTTGTTATTCTGTACATAATTACCTGTTATAAATTTATACTTTTAGGTTGTAATGCATCTTCTGGCTTCGTATTTGGACACTCAATTAATACCATTACCTAACATGCCTGATACTAAAGCATTCAGTGGTAATCATTTTATTAGAGTTGCTGATAAAGCCCCAACTTTGACGTCAAATAGTTTTTATATACAAGAAGTTTCAGAGAAACCACCACATTATAGAGTTATTGTAGGACATCAAATATATGAAATGGTAAAAGTAAGTAAAATTTATTTACATGATGACATATAGGTGTCCGCATGAATATATTAAAAAAATATATTCCAAAACACAAGTAAATATCAAATGATGGCACAACAAATTGAAATATATTGGAAGAAATCAAACAGAAATCATAGGTTTAAGGTATTCTTAGAGAACACAATAATAATAAAAAAAAACACAGAAGTTAAAACACTTCACAATTGTGTATTTTGGTATAAAAACATACAAGTACTTAAAAACTTTTTAAAAAAGTGTCGTCAACATTTAAAACTCTGGCAGAACGTTTTCAATCTATACAGATCATCTTTAGTGCATTTTGTATTTGGTGCTAACAATAAGGTGTCTATAAGACTTCCATGTGTGGATTTACAAAATATCACATTTTACATTTAATAATGTTGAGACTCTAGGTCGATGACAATGGAATTGTTTTTGAAATTAAAATTTACTTTAGGGACTACATGTCTCTTAAGCTCGAATACTTGCACGTGGTACTTGTCAGTTGAAACGACGACACAGGTCTGTGACGTGTTTTAACTTCTGTGTTTTTTTTTAACGATGGTATACAGCCAATTACGGGGTTTTTCCCATTAATTTTACAATAATAATACTTTAATGTTTATTTAGGCTTATCAATTATTTTATACTAGAAAGAGAAACGAGAGGCCTACACGAAGTACAAAACATCAAATACCCCAGAATCCCTATAGAAGAATACGAAATGAAACAAAGCAGTTGGTAAGAAGAACAAAAAATGAACACTGGGAACAGTTTACAAAAAGGATGGAAAGCAAATTCTACGGTACACAAAAACAAATATGGAGATTTATAAGAAACCAACGGAAAGAAATGGCAGAATTGAAGAAATACAATAACATACCAGCAAACGAATGGGAAAGATACCCGATGGAACTGTTTAAAGTAAAGGAAAATAATAATCAACACAATAACGTGCCTGAATTAAAACCCGAAATAGAAATCAGTTTTCAGGAAGTAGAAATAGCCATAAATTCATTCAAAAATAGAAAGTCACTAGGACCAGACGGAATAACCAACGAGCTTCTAAAACACGGAGGAGAAAGTATAACCCTAGAGAAGACAAAAGTTATATAAAAACTAATATTGCACTGCAAGATACCACACGCATGGAGAACCAGTATAATGATACCAATGTTCAAGAAAGGAGATAAAGAAAACCCCAACAATTATAGAGGTATAAATCTACCGAACACCGCACTTAAGCTTACCACAAAATCCTAACCAACAAAATCAATAAACTAACAACTTTATCAGAGAAACAAGGATTCAGATCGGGAAGATCCTGCGTAGATGCCGTATTTGTACTAAGCAAAACACGGAAAAGACCATCGAGTACAATAAGCCAGCATATTTATGTTTTATAGACCTGGCAAAGGCTTTCGATCGCATTCAAGTCGAAGACGTCTTACACTTACTGTATAAAAGAAACATACCAATCAATATTATACAAACCATCGAAAACATCTACTTCCATAATCGAATACAGGCAAAGGTAAATGAAAAACGATCGCAGTGTATACTAGTACAAAGCGAAGTCAGGCAGGGTGACTCGTTAAGCCCACTTCTCTTTAATATAATAATGGACGAAATAATACAAGTAGTATGGCTACAGAATGGGGAACAAAGAAATCCAAATATTATGTTATGCAGACGACGACGCATTAATCGCCGAAACAGAAAACGAACTCCAAAGATTAACACACATCTTCAATATAACAGCCAAGAAATACAATATGATATCAACAGAAAAAAAAAACAAAATGTATGACAACATCTAAATACCCACTACGATGTAAAATCGAAATTGATGGGAAGATAATAAAGCAGGAAGTAATAATATATATATATATATATATATATATATATATATATATATATATATATATATAACTAGTTACGGAGATGTTGAAGAAGAAGTACAACAAAGCTTAAAAGCGAGTAAAGCGGCGGAATGTCTTAATGACACAATCTGGAAGAACAAACACCTAAGTTAAGACACAAAAACAAGAATCTATAAAGCATCAATTAGACCTATATTAACATACAAGGCGGAGACAAGACCTGACACATCTAAAACGAAACGTCTACTAGACACAACTGAGATGAAAATACGAATATCAGGGAAAAGTCTGTTGGATAGGGAGAGAAGCGAGAACATTAGAAGAGTCGGAGAAGCAGAGAAAAAGTATCGCGTCACTTATAAAATTACAAATATTTTTGACAGCATTTGGTTAATTTAAACTATTTCTTTCCGGTCCTTAAGAATATTAAGGCTAGAATAAATAATAAAAAGAAATTTGTAAATACAGCTTACTGTTTAAGAAAAAATATGGTAATTGCTATTTTGTCTGGTTTTTATATTATCGGTCTTTATTTTACTTTTGTAAAAAGTATAGAGTTTGCGTTTAATTTAAAATTTCGTATTAAATATTGAGTATGCAAGGTCGTGATAATATAAATTTACATTTAACGGGAGATCAAGTGGTTAGAATAATTTCCCTCATTGAAGACGGAAGGAGTCAGAGATATGTAGCAAATTTAGTGGATGCAAATCAGTCGACATTATCACGAGTGGTAGTAAGGTACCGAAAGAGTGGACTTTATAAAAGACGAGCTGTAAAAGGTCGGGCAAGAGCAACTATGAATGTAAAAAATTGATTTGTAGTCCTTCAGGCTTTACGTCGAAGACATGTGCTGCAAGTCAACTTCAACATGACAGCCGAGACTCGAAATGTACGTGTGTCTTCAGAAACTGTTAGGCACATCTTAAGACAGTCTGGAATTAGGGCCAGAGTAGCTGCCACCGCTCCGAGACTTACAAGGGAACACCTTATAACACATTTGCAAGAGAGTGAAACGCTTAATACTCCGGGAGTATTGGGTTTTTTTGGAAGTGTAGAACTTCCAAATTTCAGAAGAACTGAAAGAGAAGTGATGAAAAAAAAATACTAAAAATAGGGCTAAGTTCAGATGAACAAATTTAAATGGCCAAAGAGACACTAAATCTCAAGTGAGTGTTCGGGCTAGCTTCAATGCACTGGATTGTGGCTTTAAAGATATAAACAGATAGCAAGGATACTGAGCTAATGAGACAAGAAACGAAATGAGACCTGGTAATATCAAATGTGATACAACTAAAGAAGGTCACTGGGAATAAATGTTATAGAAAGAGAACAATAAGAAGAGAAAAGAAGGGCGCCAACTCAACGATAGTTGAGATTTTGAAGTAACAAATGAATCTGGAGATAATACTCTGAAATACAAAAATACTAAATAATAATCTTGTTTTGCTATGTTATATACTGGTTAGTAGAACTGAAATAAAACTCAAAATAGCAACAATAAATATATTTATAAAAAAATGTATATCGATATATATGTATTAACAATTTACATATAAGGCAAAACTAAATAACAGTGGTAGTGGATGGTGTAAATATACAATAGGACATAATAGCCCCTCAACAAGCGAATAATCACTACCACTGGCCAAATAAAGTTTAAAATATTAGTAACCTAGAATAGTCCGTATTGTAGCCAAAGTCTTAACACAAAAGGTAGTCATTTAAATTTAAATTAGTTCTACTAAAATGAGATACTAATTACAATATTGTAAAGATATCAAACTTGATAAATCTATTACAATTATTATATTACATCCAAAAAAATGAGTGTTCAATACTCTTTATATAATGTTTTAAAAAAAAACCACATGAAATTTATTTCTCTTCCCAAAATCAAAATTGTATTATACTAACAAAAATATTATATCAAAAAAAAAGTGAGTTTGGTCAGACTCTGTATATCCTATTTAAAAAAAAAACCAATAAAAACATGTAATGTATTTTCTTCTCCCCAATATTTTAGAATTAGATTATATCAAAAATTAAATTATCCCAAAGGTATTCACCTTATCATATGCATATGAAGCGGGTATACTACTAAATAGGAAGTAACAAAAGTTAAACAGTAAATAGATAGTAACAAAAAAAAATTGCAAAGTCAAACAACTTATCTTTACAGCCCCCATAAGTCCATAGGAAAATTCCTCTTGGCACGGTTACATCAGTTTATGGCTGTAAAGACGAATCCTGGTCACAAAGCCACAACCAGTCACTGGTCTCTGGGTGACAGCAAAATCCACCGGTTTGCTAACTATTCAAGAAATTTAGTTACTTGAGACCTTGAGGGAATATTCTGAAGAGAATATCCTCAAGTGAAGTGACGGAATCTAAAATTATTATTTAATTTAATAAATACAATTCAATAGGTGTAGCAGCATGGATTGACTGCACCAAAACAAAACATCAAAACATTAGGTTATGTCAACATGTCAGAACTTCCGAATTTACTTCGTAGACATGACAGGCTTGCGCCATGAAAAGAACATGCGCAGAATATAGAAGGCTGTCCAATATTTGTCGAACCTTTTTATATTCCACCAAAAAAAGTTAGATTCAAAATGGGAACCAAAAAAACTTAATGATAACGACGTGGAATAAAACAGAATTTAAGTTTAACTATATAAAAAAAATGACCTTCTGTTCTTTGCAAGTAAATCAAGGAAATTTTATATTTAAATTATTTCGGAACTCAAAAATAAATCTCTAAAGAAATACTAAATACAATGATAAATTTGATTATATGATAAGGAGATAATACGTATTAAATGATTTACTTACATGGAGCTGCAGCACGCCAAAAAAATCTTCCTTTTATGTGGAACTCTTATAAATATTGATTTTTAAAATTTACTTATTATTATGACTATATCTATTTTATATATAAATTAATTTATTCTTCCCCAAATTATTTTTCTGCTCCAATTCCGTCACTTTGAAGGTGAAAAATTTCACCGGTTGACGTGGCTGCGTATGAGTTCTGACCAAAACTGATCGTTCCGCTTCCGCATAAAATCGATCTTCCTTTCAAAGCGATAACATCGCGTGTCAGGA